CCATATAGTCCGCTTCGTGTAGCGTTTAGGGTTTAGACTTGAGGGTTTAGGGCTTGGGGTTCAAGATTCAGGGTTTATTGCTTTGGGGCTCCAGAAAGCATACGAGCTATAGTCTAAACTCCGTAAAGAGGGGTTATACAGGGGTTCATATGGGGAACGACTATAGGGGGTATTTCGGGGTATACTAGGAGTTTAGACTTAGACTATACCTCTTATCTGGAAGTCCGAGCACGCTGCATGGAAGGGGTAGGAGCCACAACTCCCAATGGAACATCAAAACTAGGTCGTTGTTGAACTTACTGACTTACTGCCTCATTTTGATGGCATGAAGCCCAGCAAGGACTGCACAACTACAATCTTTACCCTAGGGATCCAAGTATACAAGTACTACATGCATCGGGCCCGAAAGTCTGCAAATGTTTCCGACATTGGGCTATTTGGATCCCTGGGGATAATCCGAAACCTTAAGCCTTCAATAAAGCCTTAAACCTTAATCTCTAAACCCTGAGGCCCTGCGAAAGCTGGCCTCAGAAAAGGTGCGAGGGGTTGTTAAATAAAAAAGAAAAAAACCTGAAGCCTAAATCCTAGAATCCCTAATCCCAAGCAAACATGGGCAAAGTTATCCACTCCTCGTCATAGCGACTTAATCCTGGCTCTGGGCATAAGCTTGGGTTTCATGAATTTCTGCGACCTTGTTATCTTAACGTAGAACGGAGGCCCTCTTCGAGCCAGAAAAACGCCCATAATCTTGATTTGTAGTTTCCACAAATAGGCGGACCCCAATAGATCCCAAAAATTGTATAGCCTCGGCTTCGGCCCGATCACTCCCCTCTTCTGGACGATTCCTGCAAGGGAAGATTTGTCAACCATTATGGACCATAATCCCTAGTTAGTCCCTGTTTAACGCAATCAAAAAATGTATTTCATAGGGTCCCTAAAGCCATTCCAGTATTACAGTATTACAGTAAAGTATGTTCTATAGGGCCCCTAAAGCCATTCCAGTATTACAGTATTACAGTTGCTGAAGACTTTGTTACTGAGGCGCAGCAGTCGCAACTTGCCAGCAAGGCGTAAGGGCAGGTCTTCCCCGTGTCTGTTCCTATGTAAAGCATTCCCCGTAGGCACCTCGGGAAGAAGGCATCCATAACCTGGGTTGCTGTTAAGGAATTTAGCTTAAGTTACTATATTTGGGAAACCCTATGATTTACTTCATATATACCCGCTATGGTAAGCGATAATCAGAGTAAAAATAATAGTAATAGTGATACTAATATCAGTAAGAATAGCAATAGTAATAGTAGTAGTAGTAGTAATAATAATAGTACGTATAACGGTATTAGTAGTAATAACAAGAACAGCAAGAATCGTCATAATAAGACGAAGGAGACTAGCAATTCCAGCTGGTGGAATCCCAAAGTAGGGCCCGGGATTTCGGCACAAACATGCACCCACACTTTGGGGTGGGGGGGAGGGGGGGGGGAGTCGGTTTAACATGGGCCGGTGGGGCGTTTGGTTACTTGAAGTGTCCCTATGGTGGCTACGAGAAGCCCTGCATGTCCCTCGTATTTTACACAGTGGGCATATCGTACACTACAATCATGCAGGGTTTTTAGTATCAGCAGTAGGGTTCAGAACCAAATTGTACGTTGTTTAGAATCCATGGCTGAGGTAGCATTTAGGTTCAGGGGGTGTAGAGCTTAGGCCCAAGACACAATTCTTACATCATTGCTTCAGGGTTCAGGGTTTCCCCGACCCAGTTCCTGCATAGTTGAGCCATTGCGGTTTTAAGTCAGCCTAAGCCAGAAACTCATCCAATAACCCAGCCTCTAGATCCCGACTGTGCGCAGACCCTGCACAGCAAAACCATGACACCAAAACCTTTACACAGAAGGCCCGGATTCCCTTACCCTGAAGGGAATCCTAAGGGTCCAGGTACCCCATACTTGGGTACTATGGTTTGGGGTAATAGTAATTTCAGTATAGGTTCTGGGTAAGTATATGATTACTGAGCTTTCTAAAGGGGATCCTACAGGTTATGTAGGGTGTAGGGTTCAGGGTTTACGGTTTGGGGTCTAGGGATCCTTGCCCCAAGGGTCCAAGTAATTATCCCCGAATTGGGTACGAAGGTTTTGGGTAATGGTAATTTCAGTACAGGTTCTGGATAAGTAGTATATTAGTATTGAATACTTGGACCCTTAGGGCTTCCCAGAATCCCATAACTCTACATCCCCAACATCCAAGTCCTCAAATCCAACTTCCATTCGCAGTCTTCGTATGGGCTGGTGCTCAGCAAGAGGTGTCACAGCCTCTCAAGTACCAGCAACTTCCTCAAACCCTGAACCCCCAGCTTAAATCCCACGATCCTGAAACCCTAGAAGTTGGGCTAGGCCCCCAACATCCCCCAACCAACTAATAGTGGTACAATGGAATGGGAAAGTGGGTGTGGGGGCCAACCTACCTAGAAGCCTAAAGTTGCCAACCTGTATTCACTCCCTTCGGGTTCTCTCAAGCGGCTCCAAGTTCCGGGACGTTCTTGAACAACATTTGGCGGTTTCCCAAAATTAGGGGCCCTTCTTGTTAGAGGTCCCTATAATAAGGACTGTAGTATATTGGGGTCTATGTTGGAGTGCCCTAATTTAGGGAAACTATCATTTTCAGTTTTGAGTTTACTGAGACACAATAAATGCTGCGGAAAGTAATGACGACAGTGCCTCAAGAAGCCTACACCATGTTGAAACCCAATAGGGAAATATGTTATGCACTGTGGCAACAGGTTTTCAGTTCATTAAAGCCCAAAATACGTCAATAAGGAAGGCACAAACTTTTGAACAAAAGTATTCTCTCAGAAGGGAGCTGGGCAAAAATCATAGCAAGCTCAAAAGCGCTCACCCCTACCTGCCTACAGTTAGTGGTGAGATTGCACCCAATGCCCAAGAGGGCCTTAATTCAGGATTATGATTATCAATTATGTTAACGTGCCTAGAAAGAACCAAAACCTAAACCCTAAACCGTAATCCCTAAACCGAACCTGTGAATCCCTGAGGACGAAAAAAAGCAGGCGTTCAAAGAGCCCACAGCCGCGCCAAAAATCTATTCGCTTTGTGAGCCCCTCCGGAAGCTATTTTTGAGGGAAAAATGGGCGCTTCCAAAATGCCTGCTGCACCCAATTCTGGAGGAATAAATGGCTGAACAAAAGCCCAACTGAAAAGACAATACATTC